TCCACCCTTCTTGGACGGCTTTCATTTCTACTTTAACGGATTCTTGACCAGCTTTTGCCTTTCCTTTGAATGCAGCAAAGGCTGCCAGTAATTGCCTTAATTGTTCTTTTTAATCAGTCACGAGACTATGCAGATTAATGATAATTTCTCATGGTTTTTGGAAAGCAATAGAGTACAATTACGGGATATCTATTTATTAAATGTTAAATGCGCGTGCTCCTATATTTTTACTTCTCCGGCATAGCTCTGTCATAAAATAAGTCTTGTGCTGCATTGCATGGGGATATAAAACAATTTTAATTCCACTAAAAATAGCAAACTAAGTACAAAATCTGTAACAATACAAAAAAGGGCATATTGTTACTTATTTTGATTCATTTTTAAATGCACCAGCGTGTAGCGCAACATCGCAGAAATAAATTTACCTGTAGTGCCAATCGTGCGCTGGCACGTAGTTATAAAGTCTATGCTTAAAGGTTTAGCAGTCAATGTGGTACAAATAATAACCTTTTATTACCTCTTTTAAAACATATTTTTTTTAATAAGTAAGTTAGCATGTGTGTACAATCTATTTCTATGACACAGTATCAACTGTCAACATAACTTCACATGACCAGCAGCAAAAGTGTTAATGATCTTTTGAATTAGCCTGCATAATAAGAATTAAAAATTTATATTTCCTTATACAGACTCCCGTATAAATAGCAAACAAATCTTAACCTGTAAGTCATGCTATCAAATTTTTGCAAGTAAACCATGTCTTTCAGTCTCAAAGACTTCTTACTGATTTAATCAAACAAATTTCAGTTTTCAAACAATTAATTACAGAAAAAGTATATTAAAATAGAATTACTTAAGAGAACTAAACGTTCTTTACACTTATGTAAGCATATTATAAAATATAGTGTAGTATAAATTTTTATGAAACTAAAATATCTAAAGTATTTTCAGAAATCAGCTGAATAATTTTTCATTCATTCTGTTGAAAACTGCTAACATTAAATTTGGTAAATAGACTACGAAAAATTATTCTATCTTATTGTGCATTTCAAGGAGAGTTTTTATGAGTACTGTAAACACACATTTCACCATCTGTAAAAAGAAATTAAGTCTTTCTTCTTTAAATCAGTGTGTTTAAATCCTTGTTTATGTCAGTTTAGTAGAAGCTGTAATATTTCATAATTTCCGTCTGAGCGTAGTTAAGCCTGATAATCATAATTGTCTGTACAGTCAAATGTTGGAAAACTGATATTTTAACTAAGTTTACTCAAATCATAGCACTGAATTTCTGTCAATCATTGTTTGACATATATAGCCACTAATAGTGCGTGCTCCACGTATTGGAATCTATGAAACTTAACGGTAAAAATATATTTATGGATTGGCAATTTTTTGCAGTACATGGGCACTGAGTTTGTGCAATTCAAAGTCAAAGGAACAGCCGACAAAAAATATATAATCTCAGTAAACTACATTTTAAATTAAACAATGAAATAACATAAAAAAGGAAATTCATCTTAGGAAATATCCACTTACCTTATTTGCAAATTTCCGTGTCCTCAGTCAAACAAAATTCTTTAACAGCATCCAGAAACTTCCTAAAATTATTTGAACTAGAATCTGTTTATTGACATCGCTACATAAATTCACAAAATCAAGATTCAAAAATATCTCTTACATTTGACCATATGCATTTCCTTCCTACAAACAGGACACACATAATGGCAACTAAGTAAACCTCATTTACACACTAGTCAATGCTTTCTTTCTCTTTCATTCGAAATCGTACAAACTTCAAATCAATCTTGCAACATTCAGCCATTTTACCGTGTAAACCACAAAGTAACAACATACCAAAATCCATCCCATCATTAAAATTTACCGCAGTCACGCAACCAATTATGTCAGAGTTTCCATAACATTCAGCTACTCAGGTTACCATGAATGAAATAACAACTTAGCGACAATCCAAAGGGCACCCTTCATTTTACTCTAACCAATTTAACCATGTCCAGTTCTTTCATAAGTTGCATAAGCCATATCCTAAAATTTGGATTATTTTGTATTAATTTAGCCACTTTAGTAAAGTTCCCAAATTTTCAGAATGTCCCAAACTCTCACAACCATGCTAATAACAATCCTTCAGTTAGGCAATAAAAGAAATTGCAGTAAAACTTCTGCATGAATACATATATGCTGCAAAACTGCTAAAGGGAACATTAGTTTTGAATCTGTTGTTGAAGCAATTGCCACTATATTGCTACCAAACCAAAAATAATAAAAATCAGCTCTTAAGTAAAATTACATATTTTGGGGAGTAATATAACATTTTGTGGCCCCATACATTTTGTGCGGTTCTGAAATTCTGCCAGGTGCCTCCCTAAATTCTACGTATTTTACTGCCCTTGGATTTTGCATCCATGCCCTCCCTAAATTCTTGCTGCAAGGTACAGCCGTACTAGGTGTGGCACTGGTTCTGGACATAACTGAGTAACAGATCAGTTACTTCAATTCAAGCAACACTAAATATAATCTTTTGGTCTATAACTATCATTTACAAAATCTATTTTTTGCATATGGAAAAAAATTTCTCCTCATCAGTATACTCAATACTTCACAGCAGAGTTCTGTAGTCATCGCCAAGCGTAATGTCAAAATGTTACCATGCACTTTGATATTCCGTCACTAATATTAAAAATATATACATAGCTCTGTTAGTCAGTTCTCAAACTGTGATATAATGATAGTCATGCAGTGATGAAAGCAAAAAATAGTAAATAATAATTTACCAGGTTGGCATCTGTGCCTTAGAGAAATTAAGAATTAGGATTCCTAATATGTTTTATGATGAAAAATTATCAAATTTGCAAGCATTAAAAAAAATTGCTGGTGATTCGGATTTTAGATTATTCAGATTTTGAACTTTGTACTGAATATATATATATCTATATATATATATATATATTCAGAATAAATCACACACACATGTATATATATATTTATGTGTGTAACCAATAAATTTTTGCAACTGAAATGAATTGTGATTATGATTCGTTCTCATCTGTAAAAAGGCCAGTTTACACCAAAGTAGTTGCATTAATACGTAAGGACAAAAATTTGCATCACTGGCATACATTTTTATGATCCAGAATGTACAGTTATAATTATAGCTGTACAAATAACTGTCTAAACTTCATACAAGGTGAATAATAGCATTAGAAAGACGTGAAGACCTTTTGTGAAAGAAATCCTGTCTTTAAGCCTTTGGGGTGCTAAAATAACTTGAACAAATTTGCATGCATTCTGATTCCAAATAGTTAAACATTAGGATAATAGTGCTTATGTATTATGCCATGGATCCTGAAAGTTGGCTAAAACCAAGCTATGAAATTTAGCAGAGATCCTGCCAAAATTGTGCCAGATGTTCTTGCAGAGTTCTAAAGGAACTGATGCCTCTTTAATTAACTAGTATTTGACCTGCTTCATAAAAAGGCTTCTACAGTTTTTGTTATTTTGTTAGGGTCTCCTGAATTTACCAAATGCTGTATTTAAAATGAGTACAAGCTTCCAGTAGGTAATTGCTCTGATCTATTACTGTTTTGGCAGCATATTCAGCTCACCATATCATGCCCATTAATACATGTTTTTCTTAATGGCAGGAACCCATAACTTTGAAATCTACTGTTTTGCAGTCTTCTGTAAAATACAGCTCCCAAATGTTAGTATTTTGTTTTCTCCAAAACGCAAGGAAAAAATGCAGCAATAACAGATAATTTAAATCCTTGTTCAAAAAACAACATGCCTTTTTTAAGAATGAACCGAGGTTCCATCAAACAAAAGTGTAGATGTGATGAATGTGTTGTTACATCATGCTTATCCAAAATTGGTGCTAAACTGCATTGCTTGGAGGTTCACGGTAAATGAGATATTCTCTAAGTATGAAAGCAAAGTGTTATGAGCAAAAGATCTCAAAAGAATTGATGGAGTAATGTTGGAGACCCTGTGATTTAACTGTAATTCTTTACAGTTACTTAGCAAGAGATGTATTCATAATACACACAAAAGTCTTTAATCCAGACTCGTCGGGACTTCAGCGATTCCGGATTATCAGTTTTTCGGGATTATAGATCATCAGTTTAAATCTGGTAAGATGGCATGCAGAAATTATAAAATTTAAAATATGAAACCATAATTTATAAAATAAAGAGCAATTATGATCTAAAGGGTATCAAACTTTACAAAAAAAAAAGCTTAATATTTATTTGTTTACTTTATTAAACATTTTTTTCAAAGCGCGCATGCATAAAGCATACATTACGCATAGTGGAAATTAGAAAATTGCAACCAGAAAACTATTTGATCTGTATTCGTGATATTTATAATGACGAGTGATTTAAATCATATCAAAGACGGAGTACATCGAGATGAAATACTACATTTAGTAAGGAATTGTAAGCCAAATAAAATAAAAACATCTGCCCTTAAGATAAGGATAGTGCTGACAGATCAACTTCCAGTTCATTGCGTGCCGCGACGATGGGTAAGATGAAAAAAGGGATTTTTAAAATAGGTTCTTTGATTTAATTCTAGCACATGGTACACATGGGATTTGGCAACGTTATGATGTTTGAAATGAGTCATTTTGGGGTTGCCGACAATTTTCAAAATCGTGCCAAGACACCGTATACTAGGATTTTACCAGTGGTTTGTGGTTCCCCCCCCCCCAGTGCATTCAGAAGAATGTTTTGTTTAATTTCATTGGCAAATATTTAGTAAGCAAAGCTGTGGTGACATTTGAAATTTGCAGATTACAAGTTAAATTTTCCAGTTTTGATGACTAAGTGCGTTGACTGCTTAATTTAGAAGTAGAGACTGATTATGTGTACTCCAAAGATATTGTCTTTTATTTTCTGTAATTCTACTATAAGTTGTAGTGAAATTGTTTCTTATCTGCATTTTATTGTATTGTAAATTTAACATATGTCTTTTTCAATTTTCAGTAGTGATTCTGAATCTGATGAAGAAAAGCCAGTGTTAAAAAGAAAAGCGTCAGATAATAGTGGGAGTAAAAAGAAAAAGAAGAAGCATCACAAGCACAAGCATAAACATAAACATTCATCTCATAAACCTAAGAAAAGTAGTGAAATCCATGTAAAACATAAACATCGTACTCATATAGAGAAAAAAGAAGTGAATAGCATGGGCCTTGAGGAATTAGAGAAGCAAAAGGCTTTAATTGAGGCAAAGTTAGCTAAAGTTGATGCGGTTGTTCAGCAGCAAGCTTCTCTTGTTTCTGTTGAATATGGTAGTTCAGATGAGAACAGTCCTCTTCATATTGAAACTACTGTAGAAAGACATGATTCTGAGTCTACTGCTAGTAGAATTGTTTGTATAAAAGACGTTCCACGTAAAGAAATATCAAGCCACCGTAAACATGATAAAGAAAATGACAGAGGGGAATTAAAACGAAAAAATGTTCATAAAGAGTCTAAAAGCTTGAAAGAAAATCATGATGGGAAGCATGCAAGTAGTGTATCAAAACATAGTGCAGCTTTACGTGATCTTAGCATAGAAAAAATTTCAAGTCATAAAAGGTTTGTATTTTATTAAGTGATCACAGTAGAAATTCTCAATTTGGTTATTTTAGTGTAACTGTTTTAATTATTTTAAATCAACTTCTTTACTTTAAGTCAAAATTATAGTGGATATATGTATATATACTGTTATATTCATATCTGAAAAAAATTATTGAATGTATTTACGTGGGTGCATGAAATTACTTAAGTTCACTATACTCGAAACAACTTGGTAGAGTGCATTAAGGGGTTAACTATACATCTTATTTTCCATCTAAGTATTTTGTTATTTTCATAATATGTAACCTATTTTTATGTTGAATAAAATTAGAAGCATTGTTTTAAGATGTTTACATACATATATGTCATATTTTTAATGTGTAGAAGGAGACACTGAAACTCTTAACAGCTTTTGGTAACAGTGATGACTTGAGGCATAAATTAAGATAACGAATTGGATTTTGATAAAGCACCAATCTTTATTTTCACACATATCTAATTAGTTTGTCAGACACTTATTCAATAATAATTAAATAGGATAAATTGCTATGTGTATTGGTTTTTTAAAATAAGGTACAAGCATTTTAGATGGGGAAGCAAAGCAGCATGGTGGAAGCTAGGAGAAGAATGGCCAAGAGTGTTTATACTAAGCCTGATGTAATTATAGAGACAAGCTATGATTGGTTAATGATAGGTTGTTACATAACATAGAAGGATCTCGAATTTGGGAGAGCACCAAATCTAGAATCATTACTTTTGAGGTCGCCAGTTATTTTTAAAACAGCTATCATATTTTCTTATATCTTACATATACTCCCCCTTCAAAATAAAGGTCAGGAGAGTAGGGTGGCAGAAAAGCGTTAGTGAATTAGCAAAGCAAAAGAAGGTTTAATATATGAGGAAAGGGTACTTTGGGATTATCCCGTCAACCATTTTCACCGAACCCTATATTACCGCCAAAAGGCAACTTCTACTCAAATAACTGTGTAATCATTAACTATGCGAGTTAATTGTCTTTAGCTTATTGAAATATACTGCTTTTTTTTTACTCTGCTGCAAAAGGATTCGAATTTGAGAATTAACTAGCAACAAAGAGAGTCAGTGGCATGTTTCATATATATATATATATATATGAAATCATTTCTTCTAAGAAAATCTGTGTTAATGGCCATGATATGGCGTTGTATATCAAGACTGATAAGCAATGGCAGTGCAATGTAAAGGAGGTAATAAACCAGTAGCTATTTGAAAAAGGCACATGGTTGGAGGGCTCAAAACTCCTGTTTCTGACTGCCTCGGTTTATTATACTGCTGGTAGCAAGAATTAACATCAATTGAATGAGGAGAAAAAAAGCTGCATCCAACAGGAAAGACAATTGTTGATTGGAACAATTATATGAGAGAACTGCGCACTCGTAGTGTTACAACTCGAACGCGAAATGAGCGAAAGTTTCTCTTCTGCCAGTGGCAACGAGGAGTCAAAAAAAAAAAAGAATATAGAAAAGAGCAGCCGCTCACTCAGTTTCTCGGTTAGAATTTGATACGAAGGGGGGATAATCCCATCTTTTGATTTGAAAATAATCTCAAAGTATGTATATATTGTAATATAAAAGGTCTGTGTAAATAAAAGTCATTAAAACTTAATTGAAGTAGTGATTTGAATCGAATATACAAATCGAAAGCTCTCCCAAATAGAACTATTGATTATAGAAATAACACGTAGCCTTCTACAACATGATTTGAAACAAGTAGGAGGTCCGAACAAAAATGTAGAGGTAGATGAGAGCCTTTTTACAAAGCTCAAAGCCATTGGTCGTATTCTTCTAGAACAATAGATATTTGGAGGACTCTGCAGAGAGACTAACGAGTGTTTCATCTGAAAGGTTCCCAATCGAAATTCAGTAACTCTAATGGCTGAAATTAGGAACAACATTGCAGAAGAAGTACGATTTAACAAAGTGCAAAGAACATGATATTTAATAAATAAAGGTGGCATGGAAAGCATTAAAAAAAGTGCCACTTTGGGTGTAATATAAAATCTGAAAGCTCTCAGTTTTTTTTTATTATTTATTTATTTATTTATTTATTTTTAGAAGCAGTGCTAATGCTAATAGAAATACATATGTACAGATCAGTAACTATAAACATGTTTGTTGCCAAATGCAGAGATGGGACAAATATGTGTACATTAAAAGCATCATGTTCACTAGTGAACACTAGTGGCATGTCAGTCTGTATATATAATTTTGATACTTTTATGTTATGTACCTGCTAAACATTTTGGGATGAGTTTTTCAGTTGTAAACAATTTCTAGTTATAAGAATAGTTTTTAGATATGCACACACAATGATATCTGAGAAGATTTTGTTATTGGGTCTTGGCAGTCCCAAAAAGTATGGCAGGTACATAACCAGAAAGTACAGTAAGACCCTGCTTAATGCGAGGTGTACGTTCCATTAAAGTAAGAGCGTAATATGAAACAGCATTAAACGAGGTTATTTCATTATGTAAATAATGGGGTTAGGAGAAGATAGGTAGAAAATTTGTCAGGTATTTTACCATTAAATTTATTAATTATATTTTTTATAACAATAAAACAAAAATTTATATATATAATTTTTATACTTTTCTGTTATATACCTGCTAAACATTTTGGGACGGTTTTTTCAGTTGTAAACAATTTCTAGTTATAAGAATAGTTTTTAGATATGCACACACAATGATATCCGAGAAGATTCTGTTATTGGGTCTTGGCAGTGTTAGCTTCTCTCTCACAAGTCCCAAAAAGTGTGGCAGGTGCATAACCAGAAAGTACAGTAAGACCCTGCTTAATGCAGGGTATACGTTCCATCAAAGTAAAGAGTGTAATATGAAACAGCATTAAACAAAGCTATTTCATCATGTAAATAATGGGGTTAGGAGAAGATAGATAGAAAATTGGTCAGGTATTTTAACATTAAATTTATTATGTTTTTATAACAATAAAACAAAAATTTATTTCTTAAAAATATAGAAACATAATAAACAAATATACATATAAAAGTAAATAAATAAAAAAGTCAGTATGTTTACATTTCAGATCATTAAGTCTCTTCTGTATTTCCAACTGTAAGAGTTTGTTAAGTGGATAGGGGCACCATAGCACTCTGTCTTGCCTTTGAACTCCTGTCAAAATTTGGGTCATTTTCAATAAATTGGTCTATAATTTCTGTTATGGTGCTCAAACTGGTTTTTAAAAACATTTTAGTTCTTTTTACTCTTCTTCAGAATCACTACTTTAAATATTTTTGTGTTGTTCTTGGTCCACTGATTCCTTGAGCTCTTAATTAGAAAGACTTGTTGCTGTTTCTTGCACTATTTCTTCGACGTCTTCCACATTTACCTCATCTAAACCAGTATGTTTCACTAATTCCACTATTTCATTCATATTGACAGAGTGTCCAGTGTCACCCCACTTGCTTAGATCTGGTCAATGTTCTTCCACCTTTCCTTCTTTACATAGACATTCTTTGGCCTAATGCTGCGTGCAATTTCGGGGAATCTACAATTCAAATAAAAGAGCGTTAAGTGGGGTCTTACTGTACTATAATTTTGTTGGTTGTTATTTAATTACAGATGCTACACAGTTGCTTAGATTTTAATTTTAATGAAACAGCTTGTGACAGATTAAATGCGTTATTCCATTATTCCAATGCACATGAATTTGTTGAAATTTATGCTCCACTAAATCAGTTGGCTTTCCTCATATTAGTAATTTTATTTCCATTTATCAAATGTATTGTAAATTAGGGAATTTAAGAATTAGGTGTTGGACTGATTTATGTACTTTTTGAAGGGTTGTTTTCCCTGTAAATGCAAAAATATGAATGCAAATTAGTTTTAAAATTGTCTTCTTTTGTACTTTCCTCTCAAGTAATGCAATTCTGCATTATTTATTACTTCATATTCAGTACATTTAATTTTTAGGACAGATTTGTAGTGTTAAATGTTTTGCATTAAAAACTCTCATAATCGGCACCCAATTAACCGTAATATCAAAGTAATGGCTGTTTTAAAGGTCTAAATTTAAATATGAAATTCAGGCCTGTGAGAAAAAAAATATGTAATGGGCTGAAATTAATTAGCCCATTACATAATTTTTTATGAAGCAGATCTGAAGATTTAAAATTAGAAAACGCAATGTTATGTTTTTGCCACCCAACATCGCATACAATGTGTTATCTGGGATATAAAGATGAATTACCTAACCTTGGTTTACTTGTAAAATTTGTCTGAAATATTTCATCTTGTAATATTGCCTTCTCTGATTTAATATGTAACTTACAAACTCACCTCCCAAACCACCTTAATCATTAACTGTAATACTGTAAATAGCGACTCAAAAAGCATGGACCCTACTTTTTATTGATAAATGTTTTTTTTTACATGCAAATGAATATTTACTAATAAGTACAAAGATATTTTTATTTCATACATTTAATGATTAATTTACTTCTGACAAAAATACAGGAAACTGCAAAAAAAAAAAAAAAAAAAAAAAATCCTTGAAATTTAAATATTAGCAAATTTTTGTTTTAAAAAAATTAGAATTTTCTGTGAAACCTTAGGAATTTTTAATAAATATGGAATAGTCGGTATTTCATTGCATGCCGTTATTATTACAAACATTGTAGCCGAGACGTGACTAAATTTTTAGTTGTATTTTGTTCCATTCTTCTTGTGGAAAACCTTTCAAATGATCACTGCTTGATTTTTTATTTCGCTGCAGAGATATTTCTAGTGTGGACCCCATATTTTCGCTGATATTGATGTCTAGGGCAGGGGTGGCCAACCTTTTTGGAAAGAGTGCACTATCTAAAAAAAAGTTAAGGTTTATAAGCTAATTATGGATTTTTATGCAAGTCTGAATAGTGAACATTTAAAAAATAATATAAATAAAACCAACATACAAACTAGAATTTTTTTGTTAATGAAATATTTTTAAATGTTCAGTCAATTAGGTTATGTATAAAATAAAAATGAATAATATGAAACATTTAATTGAAAGTAGTTATTAAGCAGTCATTACTTAATGTGGTTCTTGAATATGCAGGTTTTTTTTTTACCATATTAGGATTAGTTCTTGAAGATGCCAACAGAGTTAGGTGCTTTAGATGCATATCAGTAAATCTTGAATGATATATTGATTTTATTAGGTTCATAATCGAAAACGTTTGTTCACAAACGTGCTGATCCAAACTTACAACAATAGTGTTAGAGTGGCGCTGTAGTGAAATAAACCTAAACCAAAATTCAAAGTTACGGGGTATTTATTGTAATGTCTTTATATGTGTATCTATTGATGGAGTTGATACACACATTGTTATTTTTTCAAATCTTAATTTTTCAACAAGTCTTCGCATGCCGTGGGTTTGCCATCCCTGGTCTAGGGACTAGGAAGGAAATATGTAGTCACTTCTTAACAATGTAAAGATACCATGTACCACATTTTCACATTAAGCACCATACTTTTAGGATGATTGACTTTCTGAAATATGGAATTTTCACCATGCCTGAAGTGATAGAATTTTTCTTTTTTAATATATCTAAATACATTATGTGGTTCATTATACTATCATTGAAAGCAAGCTTCTCAATTCCATTTGCCTTTTCTATTCAGTGCCCACCAGCGGCTGAGTGGTAAAGTCGCTGAACACTGGTAGTTCAGTCCGAGGTACGAATACGTGATTATCATACTAAAGGTCAGGAGAGTACGGTGGCAGAAAAGCGTTAGTGAATTAGCAAAGCAAAAGAAGGTTTAATATATGAGGAAACGGTACTTTGGGATTATCCCGTCAACCATTTTCGCCGAACCCAATATTACCGCCAAAAGGCAACTTCTACTCAAATAACTGTGTAATCATTAACTATGCGAGTTAATTGTCTTTAGCTTATTGAAATATACTGCTTTTTTTTTACTCTGCTGCAAAAGGATTCGAATTTGAGAATTAACTAGCAACAAAGAGAGTGCAGTGGCATGTTTCATATATAGATATATATATGGAATCATTTCTTCTAAGAAAATCTGTGTTAATGGCCATGATATGGCGTTGTATATCAAGACTGATAAGCAATGGCAGTGCAATGTAAAGGAGGTAATAAACCAGTAGCTATTTGAAAAAGGCACATGGTTGGAGGGCTCAAAACTCCTGTTTCTGACTGCCCTCCGGTTTATTTACTGCTGGTAGCAAGAATTAACATCAATTGAATGAGGAGAAAAACAGCTGCATTCAACAGGAAAGACAATTGTTGATTGGAACAATTATATGAGAGAACTGCGCACTCGTAGTGTTACAACTCGAACGCGAAATGAGCGAAAGTTTCTCTTCTGCCGGTGGCAACGAGGAGTCAAAAAAAGAATATAGAAAAGAGCAGCCGCTCACTCAGTTTCTCTCGATAGAATTTGATACGAAGGGGGGATAATCCCCATCTTTTGATTTGAAAATAATCTCAAAGTATGTATATATTGTAATATAAAAGGTCTGTGTAAATAAAAGTCATTAAGACTTAATTGAAGTAGTGATTTGAATCGAATATACAAATCGAAAGCTCTCCCAAATAGAACTATTGATTATAGAAATAACACGTAGCCTTCTACAACATGATTTGAAACAAGTAGGAGGTCCGAACAAAATTGTAGAGGTAGATGAGAGCCTTTTTACAAAGCTCAAAGCCATTGGTCGTATTCTTCTAGAACAATAAATATTTGGAGGACTCTGCAGAGAGACTAACGAGTGTTTCATCTGAAAGGTTCCCAATCGAAATTCAGTAACTCTAATGGCTGAAATTAGGAACAACATTGCAGAAGAAGTACGATTTAACAAAGTGCAAAGAACATGATATTTAATAAATAAAGGTGGCATGGAAAGCATTAAAAAAAGTGCCACTTTGGGTGTAATTTAAAATCTGAAAGCTCTCAGGTGTTTTTTTTTTTTTTTTTAATTATTTATTTATTTAATTTTAGAAGCAGTGCTAATAGAAATACATATGTACAGATCAGTAACTATAAACATGTTTGTTGCCAATGCAGAGATGGGACAAATATGTGTACATTAAAAGCATCGTGTTCACTAGTGAACACTAGTGGCATGTCAGTCTGTATATATAATTTTGATACTTTTATGTTATGTACCTGCTAAACATTTTGGGATGAGTTTTTCAGTTGTAAACAATTTCTAGTTATAAGACCTTGAAAATGACCTTTTCCCAAAAGCTTTGTCTTTAATTTTGATTTAGCAAATTTTAAACACTTTCTTCAATTTTGTAAACTTATGTGCAGTTTCATTCTGGCTACTCTACCATTATAACCACCATTAACCAGAAACTATATTTCTGGTTAACTACCATTAACCAGAAAAAATTTTTTCTGAAAACATTTCAGAGTGTTTGGCCACAAATATATCCATCATTGATAGCAAAATTTTCTACACCAAATTTAGAGGCACTTGCTTTGGGATCCAACGATTTCTTTTGGTATTTTTCTCTTTGTGCTCATGATTTCTTTTGTTTCTCTTTTATTTTTGACCATTCCTTCTGTTTTGTACTTTTCTGTTATTTTCTGTGCCTTCATCCTATATATAATTTTAGTGATATCATGATTTAATTTACCATTCTTTGATAACCTGAAAAGAAACTTTCTGACTCCTATACTGGTTTCTCTTCAAGACTTCACATTAGCTTCTAAAATCACAGATTAAAGTGTAACAAACATACTGTAACTGAGGATAAACAATAGCTGTAGACAATGTGGTAGTAAAGCACATTTTTAGAGACTAATATTGTCTTCCCCCCCCCGTTTTACATTTGTAATAGCATTCTTAAATACCATAAATAATACATTTATATGTAATATTTTTACTTTTTACAAACAAATGCCTGCAATTATGCGTAATCATAAAATGTTTTAATTCATGTCTTTTGCTTGAAATTTGCCAGATTAAATATAAATTGTTAAAAAAGGGAAGTATATCCTTAATTTTAAAAACATGTGCTCGAAATTATAGACCATTGGCTGTGCCTGTCTCTGCAGAATTTATTTATAGTATTTAAATAAAGATTATCTGAACATTCTGTGTTGAAGAAAAGTCTACAGCTACAGCATCTTCAAAGACATCACAATGAGGTTCATATATATATCTGATATAACATATATATACTTCATAGTGTTAGATGATAATGTGATATTTTTATATTGTCAATTTTCTTTCATGCTTATGAAAATGAGAAATGCAATAATTTTAAGCAATAATGCAGATATATTAACTAATTTATAAATATTATTGAGTGTCTAATCTTTAAACTTTGGCATTCCTTTGATTATAAATTGAATATGCAGCTGTTAAAGATTCCTTTTACTTTTCTCAAAAGTAAATTTTTTTCTTGTCATTTAATATTTGTAATTTCTGGGAGATTAAAATTGCATATTATATTTGTAGGGAAAAAGATTATATGGAAGTAAAAAATCATGAAAAATCACCAAAATCTCATAAAAGGCCTCATTCTCCTCCAAGGAATGAACTTTCTCATCATACTAGCACAAGAATTCGCTCTCCTGTCCATCGATCAGAAATGAGAAAACTGCCATCACCACGCCGTAAAGAACGGTGCTGGGTTTCTCCCCCAAGATCACATTCACGTCGTAGTCCTTCACCCAGAGCTTCATATCCTAGACATACTGAAAAACCACGAATGAGAAGTCCTATCAGATCTCGAAGTCCCATGCCACGTAGATCTCCTGAACACTATGTCTCAGATTTTCGGACCTCGCGGAGATCACCTGATCATTATGTATCAGATTCCAGAACTTCACGTAAATCACCTGATCATTATATATCAGATTCCAGGACGTCGCGTAGGTCACCTGACCATTACCCTTCAGATTCTAGAATTTCACGCAGATCACCAGAACATTATGCATCAGATTCCAGGGGCTTACGTAGGTCATCTGAACGATATATATCAGACTCCAGGACCTCGCATAGAAGGTCTTTGGGTCGTGCAGTTTCACCTAGAAGGTATCCAAGTGATCGAACAAATAGCCATCGACAAAGTGGGAGTAGAACACGAAGTCCTGAAAGGAACAGAAGATCACGAAGTCTTGAAAGGAACAGAAGATCACGAAGTCCTGAAAGGAACAGAAGATCACGAAGTCCTGAAAGGAATAGAAGATCACGTAGTCCTAAATCTTATAGGGATCGAAGACGGTCTCGGGATAATACGAGACCTACAAATGCTTCAAGAGGAAGTCCCCATCGAAAATCTCGGTCAAGGTATGTATTTAAAGAAATTTTGGTATTTTATTATTACTGAAAAGCAAATTTAATCTTGCATGCATAATAGGACATCTAAAATACAATACAACTAACACTTACATTCCATACGAGTTTGGGCTTCTGTGAAAGTCTGCTTTAAAAAAATATGTGTTCAATACTGATATTTGTACATGCGGATATTTGTACACTTTTAGATGCGGACATTTATCAAGAGAGATTTCAATGTAGGTAAGTTAAGAAAGAGAAAGGAAATAGTCTAAAGCAGATTTGTTATTACAGAAGCTGTTCACATAATTTTTAGATGACTTTTTATAATAAAATTTTTTTTTAGCTGCAACTATATTTTTTAAAGTGTAAATTTTCATCTGCTTTTTGACAATTTTGTTTTCATGCAAAATGGTGCTTTTAAAGAAGCATTAGACAGAAGGCTATGTTTGTGCTCTTTCCGAAGAAAATTATTCGTATTTAGTTATTAAAAAATGCTGTGAAAGCAATAAGTTTTCAGTATACAAAGCAGCAATAGAGAATATTGTCAATAAGAAAGGGGGGAAATGTCAAATTTTGGCTTCAATGAGAAGAATATTTCAAAATATATATAGGTTGATCTTTACATTATGGTAATTTGGCGACCAACTCTCCTACAGCAACTCTCTATTTTTTTTTTCCCGCCGCCATTTTGTTTTCACGAAGTAAAGACATGTTTCTTTTCTTTTTATCTACTGAACACTTCTTCCAACAATCTACTAGCCGAATTACACTTATGCTAGAAATTTTATCTAACAAAACTGCTTCGTCATGACAAATATTCACTGCAAAATTGGGAAAAAGTGCACAATACCATACTCCTTACGTGTTTTTCAAAATAACACATACACATAAACCATGTACACATAGACTTATTTTTACTTAAAAAAACATCCCAGAATTGCACAAAAATGGCATTGCGCACACTGTTCACTATATCCATGTACACTGCTTTTTTCTCGTAAATTAGAAAAATTTCACGAAAATACATGACAATTTTTTGAATCTTTAAACCCGGTAAAAAGAACATATATGAAATTACCTGATCGCGAAAAAGTATATACCCTTTCCAAATATGAACATTTCCACGTATAAAATAAATAAAATATCCAAAAACTTTTACCTCTCAATTATCTATTATATTATAAACGTCACCAACTAATTCATTCCGCAAACATTACAAATACTTAGTGTCAAATATTTAAATTATTTCCATGCACGTTTACTTCAACTAAAACGTATACCAAATTCCTACAAACATAAAATTCACAAAATAACTATCATTTAATTAAAATATCACTAAACCATGTACACATTGGCTTATTTTTACTTAAAAAAACATCCCAGAATTGCACAAAAATGGCATTGCGCACACTCTTCACTATATCCATGTACACTGCTTTTTTCTCATAAATTAGAAAAATTTCACGAAAATGCATAACAATTTTCTGAATCTTTAAACCCGGTAAAAAGAACACATATGAAATTACCTGATCACGAAAAAGTATATACCCTTTCCAAATATGAACATTTCCCTGTATAAAATAAATAAAATATCCAAAAACTTTTGCTTCTACATTATCTATTATATTACAAACGTCACTAACTAATTCATACTGCAAACATTACAAATACTTACTGTCAAATATTTAAATTATTTCCATGCACGTTTACGCAAATTACTTTACTTCCACCTTACATTTAGAACAATGCATAAAAATAATATCCTCAAATAATTAAAAATACTAACTTACCTAATCTTCTTCAGAATCTTGATTACGTGTCCGATAAACTTTTCTTATTTCTGTTTCAGGATCTTTAAAATCATACTTATAGTTCACAGCAAGGTACCAAGTAAAATAAAAAACTTAATAAAACATCTTTACTTCTATCTCGCACAACCTTAAAGAAACACTTATTACTACCCCTTTCAATCCCACTAAATACCCATTTCGAATTCACTTTAGTTAGGGCCATGGGATCCAAAAATTAACGAACACTGTTTCACACAACACACTATGAATAAAGCCAAATACAAAAAAATTTAAAGAACTGCAGATTTTTTTCCCGATTTCCCCCTTTTCCGATTAAAGAACCGTAATTCGTCCATTAATATCACATGACATATCCCATGATCTCTCATTTCCCTCACACAAAGTAATGCGTAATCGGAACTGAGTACTGCTTACATTATTACCAAAGTCCCAGGTAGTAACCTTTATCGCCTCCAAAATGTCGCCAAACTACCAGTTACCATATTGTAAAGATCAGCCTATATATCTAAGGAGAAAATGGAGTGTTTCGAATGCTGCAAAGGTAAGAACTTTAATGTTAAAAGAAAATCTTTAAAGTCAAATGACATTGCATAATCATTAAAATGCTCAGTGTCAGCTGTAAACAAAGTGATTAATGCTGATTTGAATCTTAACAAGGCAAAAAAAAAAAAATAATAATAATAATAATAATAATAATGTGCCTTGTCTTTATCCACAACATATCGCCGAAAGTAGAACATATTACAAAATTCTCTGTGAGAAGCAATAGGGAAACATATTGTCGCTGTACTATGATTCTAAATTAATAAGTAAACTGTATAGCAAAAGAACTAACTAATTTATTGACAGTAATTATCTACATGCTCTGGCATGTTAACCGAATCCAGATGGCCAAGTGAATGCTTCTCTCCATATCCAATAGGTGGCGCTGTATTCTAACTTAACAGTCGCAATAGATGGATCTAGACTTATGATGTTGTTAGTTTTTGATATAATGACAAATAAAAATTAAAGAGAGTGCAGAAAACTGTTAAGGTCAAGTCCACATATTATCAGAAACATATTTTATACCCAATTTTCAAATTTGAAATACCTTTTCTTTACACACAGTGTGATCAATCAGTAGAAATGCATCAAGACAAAGCAAGCAGTGACCTTTCAAAATCTACTGTTAATTTCCTGGAAAAAATGGAACAAAAAACTTGTATCAAGGCCATATTCTTCATTCATATCCCTACTAAATCTCCTAATGTATTATCCACAGATTTTTGGCCTTTTAAAAGCAAATTGCTCAGACGTCAATAATATATATAGGTAAAATATCTCTTCTGCTACTTAGAAAAGTTTTATTATCTTGGAAATTGTGGTATTGAAAGATAGTGAGATAGTGAAGAATACGGATTATCGAATGGAACATTCAAAACACAAAAATTTTGGTGAAGTATTTCTGTAAATACAATGAAAATTGTCCAAAAAATGTGCGAACAGCTATAGTATTACTAGTGAATTTTTTTCAGGAATAATTAACTAGCCACCAATATACAGTAATTAAATATGTGCATTAGAATTCACAGTCAAAATAAATCTTGTATTATTCTTTTCCTTAATATTTAAATATTTTTCCATACTACTAAAAATGTGAGAGTTTAAATAGAATTTAAAAAAATCAGCATTTGTTTTAATTTCAGCATGCTGTTCAGTTAAATAATCTTCATTTTTACCTGGATTCAGATGTTATCGATGAGATAAGAAGCTTGAGTATTGCTAGTTTCAAATGAATTATTATTTATAGTTAAATATTTTATTTTTTCAGTATTATAATTGTGTTTTATGTAAGATAGTACTGTTTTTATTATCTGGCTTTAAATAGAATTAAACATCTGAAAAATCTCGTATTTTCTTTAAAAGTCATTAAGAATATAAATAATATTATTAAGTTTAAAAGTATTGTGTTAAATTATAAAGTATGTATAAAAAATTTTTTAAATATTCCAAAATGCTTTTCATATCCAACAGAATTTTTAAATTATATAGTTTCCTGTTTCTTAAATTTTAAAAAATGTATCACTTGTATAAAGTTTTTTTAGTCCCTTTCTAATTTTAATCAAATATGGACATTTTACAGTCATATAGATGAAATTACAAAGGTAGAAGTAGGTAGTATGAATTCAACTTCTTGCCAGATTTACTTTTTTTATAACTGTTAAACATTTAAAACCATGTGGTTCAAAAAACAAACATTTATTACAGAGCAAAAAGAAGAAATACGCACACCGGGAAAAGGTTTACAGAGGTTATATATATAATTTTACAGCAGACTGTGGTTTAAGGAATCGCAAACAAGACCCAGAAAACAACCAATCAAAAATAACATAAAGAAAATGTAAACAAAATAGGATTAAGTTTCAGAATGCATGGAACGTGAGAGAAAGCTATAATTCTTTTTAACTAATAAGAATGCAATTACAAATATCTCAACAATAACTAAAGCATATATAACTGTCATAACATAATTAAAAACTAATAATGTCACACAAAATGATGTTATGAATATTACATGTGCATATTAAAATGTATAAAAAGTTTCTGAAAGATCTTTGCCTTCATTTGAAATTGGAACTAATTGTCTTTATCTTCACCTATTTACTCATCTTTCAGTTTATAAATTGTAATTATTTCTAAATTTAAAATGTAGATTTTTCCAGAGTCCTAACTAGGCAGGTTATTTCTTGATGAATGCTTATTTTTTTTATTTTACACAAATCAATAATTTTAAATTTTTTTTTTCAGTTCGTTTAGATATAATTCAGAAATGTGGCTTTGTTGACAATTCTTATGACTATTCCTGGTGAAGAATTATCAACTTCATTATTATGTAATTTTTTTTTCATTTGCATTTCCTTCCAGAATTGAATTCTAAGCTTGTGCTTTATGTTTGATTTTTGCTTTCTTCAAGTTAGGTAGCTAGCCACCTTTAAATAGATTAATATTCCAATTATTCTGTTTTATTCACATTAATTTTAAAGCATTTTGTCCAATGTTTTAATTCAATATTTTTCAGCTATTAAAAATTTTTTTGAAGTGATTATTTGCTCGTTAATTTCATTTTAAACTTATCTGGTGCTTTTTGAAATTGCTCTCAATTTTGATTTTGTTTTTAATTTAATTGTTAAACCTTTTTGGGTGTTTAAATCTTGGTTAATTCTTAAGTAGTTTTTTTCACTTTTGTCAACGTTATGCAGTCATTTGTCTGCATTGCTTTGTACTAATTCCTGTTGGTTCTACTGTCCCAATACTGAATATATTTGAATTTAGTTTTAAATTATGTATGTATATATTTTTAAAAAAGTGATTGATTTATAATTTCTCCTGGGTAATAAAACTATTAACACATGAAAGTGAAAATTTCACATACTGTATTTGTGATCTTTCTCATGAATTCTTCGTCCCTCCCACTTTTTTTACTTTTCATAATATAATTCTGCTGAAAAACGTGAAATTGGTGTCTTTATAATTAATTGTCTTGCATAGTTAAATGCTTCATAGTTTTATCAGATAATATATTACAGATTATCAGAAATGTCCAATTCATTTAAAGTCTAGTAATAAATTCTGTAAAATTTCTTAATGATTCATGTATACTGTTTCTTGTATAAAGAATATCTTAAAATATAATAATGATTATTTCTTGATATTATAAATATATCTTGTGGCTTTAGATCCTTTAAATAAGTTTAAATTCTGATTTAAGAACCTGTAAATATTACTTGTATGGCAGTTTTGTATCATTTAAGTTTATGTTGTCTTTTACACAAAGCACTTTAGTTTGATATATGGCTTAGCTTTTATTGTAGTCCCAAATGCATTTCTTCTAATGTTTACATCTTCAAGGCCAAGAAAGAATTTATTTCTCCATTGTATTTTTATGATGAAAGACAGTGGTTTCCCCCTGTTGTATTTGCATTCTAGTAGCTCTTGTCTATGAACTGATTTTATTTTCAGTGGCACTGCTGATCAAGATCAAAAACATAGGAGAAGTGAAAAAGATAAATTCAAGGATAGTTTATCTGAAGGGCAAAAAGTACAGCATGAAGATTCATCAGATGATCAGTATGTATATTTTCATTATCTGAAATTATTTTGAAAGCTTGGAAAAATCTGTGTAATCAAGCATGATTTTTTTTAAATCTTTACTATGTATAATTTATAATCTTTAAGTTACAATTGCATGAATGTTTATTTGATAAACTAAATTATATCTATTTTTGTTTTAGAGAATTTTTTATATTAAGGGCATATTTGTATGTATATAAGCAACAGGATTCGTACAGTCCTTATATTTTTTGGAATTGATTTTTGGCCCATAAAAGTCCTTAATTTTGCCCAAATCAGCAGAAGGTCCTTAATTTTAATCATCTGAAATTTCTGTCTGTTTTTACGACTGCCATTTTGAGTGTAAATTAGCATTTTGGAGGAATATTTTTGGAGATTCACTGACGTATATATGGTTATCTTTTGAATAGGTTCATGAGTTATAATTTGTTTCCATTTCTAATATAAATAAATGATGGGATACTCAAGTTTCTAAGAAAGAAGTGAAACATCAGCATTTCAAAATTTATTTTTTCTAATAGAGAGCTCTTAAAAACTTTTCCCTTTGGGGGATGTGAATTCATATATTAAATGGTTCTAAATTTGATGATTTTAAGATCAGTTTCTATAGAAACTTTTTAATTCCAAGATCGGAGAATTTTTTGATGATTTTTTTAAAACATCGTAACATTGATAAACTTAATTAAAATAATGGTAATGTATTGAAATTATATTTGAAAAATAACATTAAAATAAAACATTTTATTTTTCACTGTCATATTATAAAGTTTCGTTTTGGCAACTTAAACAGTGTTTTTAATTTGAAAAATAAACAAGGTATAATACTATAAAGCACAATTTACAAAGCAGCTCTTAGCAAAAGCAAAATTAGCTATGTAATTAATTAAAAATTTTTTCTTTTTAATTTTTTCACAGTAAGAGTTTTTCCCTTGTAATTGTGTCAGAATTCTCAGAATGTGCATCAGTTTTCTCCATAAAATTAATTTTACATTTTTTGCTGTTACAGAAATGGTAGGGATAATTTTTTAGGATTTTGTCTGTTTTTATTACTTTGTGATATGTCTGGGTGTCTTTGTATATATATTAATGGGTTTTATTTTTAATATGTAGTAGAAGTCTAGAAATCCGCAAAGCTTGGGACCAGAGGTTGTGCAGATTTTAGAATTTTGCAGATTTCAGGACAGAAAAGATAATTCATAATATTCAGAATAAAAGTGCAAAATAAATAAGGTGTATTAGATACATTTAATTAAATTATTATTACATATATAAATTGATTATATTATTCATTGTATTATGTATGTTCACAGCATCGGGGTTTGCCGATTTCGCCTCATGCAAAGATTTCCGGTGTTAAAATCACTGTTGCTTTAAAATTTCAACAGCTTTTCTTTATTTTTCTGTATATCATACACAATCGTGTCGCAATTCTGTACGATTCTGCGATGAAATGAGGAGTAGCACCTGCTTCCATCTTTTGCAGAATTTGCACTTTTTGCATTACCGTCAATGCAACGTCTTTACATTTTTCAGCGTTGCAAGCAGAAAATCATGAGCATGTTTCTTATCTGTCATTGTGTTAAAAATCGCTGAAATTTAAAATATTCTTAATTTATCCACAAAATATCTGGATTAAAAAAAAAAAACGGCTTCACTAAACAATCTCGGGAAGTAAACAAAACTCAGAAAATACAACAACGTGAATCGTCTGCTTTTTTTACCTCGATGCAAATTAGAAGGGGGAAAAAACTTGTATCATGATGTCAATAATTTGGTATTTCCGTTATGACTCATTATTATTCGGTAATTATGATGTCATTTATTCGGTAAATATTTTTTCTTCGATATTTGGTACTCCATGTTGCAGTTTCCGGAACCTATAAACTGAATGTTTATATTTTGGACGCAACGCGGATTTCTGGAGTTGGCGGATTTTCGGTATTTGACTGTATCTGTATTTGAAATATATATATATATCAAAAAGTAAATGTGGACGAAAATTATTAATTTTTTTTTTCCTTCTATGTGAAGGTCTAACCTTTCTTCTCCAGTTAAAAATTTACCAAACTGAATAAATGTAAATTAATGAAACTTTCAAAAATGTAATCTTTAACTGAAAATTAATATGAGAAAAGAGAAAACGTTTTTAAAAAAATTATGGAATATTAAACGTAACAAAACAAAATAACTTTTTTTTATTAATCTCCTTTGTTTAGTCCTTCAAACAGAACTTGTCAAGGGAAAAGTGTTTTGAAGCCTTAGACCAAGTTGATCAATAAGTTCTGAATATATATATATAAGTAAACATTTTAATTAATCATAATAAATTGCCTAACTGAATTCTATACAGTGGTTTTACTTAAATTCGTCTCATTTAAGCTCTTCTTACTTAGCGTAAACTTATCTTACTAAAATACCTTTTTGGCAAAATATTTCTTACTTGAGAAAAAACGAAGCACCTTCACATTTATTAGTTATTGTTAATTTATCGGAGGTTGGTTTGTTCCCCTTGAAAAGTAAACTAATTTTCAATTTTAATTATGCCTTTTTAAAAGTTTCCATTTTCAATTTATTCTTGATTCGTTTTGATGTTTCAAATTTTAAAAAAAATTCAAGATTCATTTTTAAATATACTTACAGGTTACTTACCTTTATCAAAGGAGATAATATTCTAAATAATCCATTAATAAATATATACAAGATTGAAGTAAATATATGATTTAATCATAATAAATTTTCTAATACTTGCACAAAAGCTGCAAAGTAATAAAATAATAATTTATTTACTAATGGGTTACTAAGTATATTATCTCCTTGGAGGAAGGTAGTAAAATTTTAGTTGAATAAAGTAACTTATATTAGGGTTCATATGGTCTTTAAAAGTCCTTATGTTTCCAGGGTTCATAGGTCCTTAAGAGTCCTTAAATTTTTTGGAATCGATTTTTGGTTCTTAAAAGTCCTTAATTTTGGCCAAAATCAGCAGAAGGTCCTTAATTTTAATCATCTGAAATTTCTGTTTGTTTTTATGACTGCCATTTTAAGTGTGAATTTGCATTTTGCAGGAATATTTTTCGCGATTCACTGACGTATATGGTTATCTTTTGAATGGCTTTCATGGGTTATAATTTGTTTCTATTTCTAATATAAATGATGGGATACTCGAGTTTCTAAGCAAGAAGTGAAACATAAGCATTTGGAAATTCATTTTTCCTAATAAAGAGGTCTTAAACAAGTTTACGCTTTTGGAGATGTGAATTCTTTTATTAAACGGTTCTAAATTTGGCGACTTGTCAACATTTTGGCGATTTTAAGATCAGTTTCTATAGAAAATTTTTAATTCTGAGATCTGAAAATTTGTTGACGATTTGTTTTTAAAACATCATAACATTGATAAATTTCATTAAAATAATAGTAACATATTGAAATTATATTTAAAAATAACATTAAAATAAAACATTTTTGTTTTTTGCTGTCATATTATAAAGTTTCATTTTGGCAACTTATTATACAATATTTTGAATCTGAAAAATACACAAGGCATAATGCTATAAAGCCTAATTAACGAAACAGCTTTTAGCAAAAGCAAAATTAGCTATGTAATTAATTAAAAATGTCTTCTTTTTAATATTTTTCAAGGTAAGAGTTTTCCCATGTAATTGTCTCAGTCAAAGTATTCAAAATATGCATGAGTTTTTTTCTATAAAATTAATTTTACACTTTTTCCCTCCTTTTTTGTTTCCAAAATATTTCTGGCTTTTTGCTGTTACAGAATTGGTAGGGGTAATTTTTCTTTGGGATTTTAGATATTGCAGCTTGGAAAGTTTGGAAGGATTTGAAGGCAAGATTTATAGACCCACGATTCTAGAAGATTCGAGAAATATGTGACAAAATGAAAAGTATCTCCATGGTATCAACATGTCGTAATGGATGTGTTTTACAAAAAGTTTGTGATAAATTTATTATTTTCTGGAGGTCTGGAAGAACAATGAAAACGTAATATTTGAATGGTTTACTCCTGATACTAGAATCTTTTTCTTAACATGTTTATCTTCCCTTTATTTTCTCTACTTTTCACTAGACATAAGCATGGAAAATATCAAAAATGCTTCTAACCTTATCGTTTGGGCAGGCAGTATGGAAAGGGGTTTTTTTATTAATTAAAGAAATTGATAACTTACAATTTAAAAGATTCATCTAATATGTCTTAATGATACACAGTGCAGGCACTAGGGATTTTCCACAAATATAATTCTTTTTTTACTTTTGAATTTAGTATTACTTATTGATGTAACAAAATTTTAAAAATTGAATAATAAATTATCACTTTTAAATGCAAAAATATTACTGTGGTATCAAATTTACTTTTAACATAATTATTGTAATTTAAATCTCAAATTTATTATCAAAAGTAATAAAGCTATAATAAAACACTGTCTTTCTAAATACATAAAAAGCAATCTCTGTGGATCCTAAATTCTGCTGCATAGTGCCTTTTTAAATTCTGCTTCCAATGTCTGCTCTAAATTCTAAGAGTTTTGCCATTTCTAGATTTTGTTGTTCCCTGTGTCACTAAATTCTAAACATTCTGCCACACCAGCTCTGTAACCGGCCTTCACCATATATGTTTCATATTTTTTCTGAATATTCATATTACTAAAGAAATAAAATTAGCCACTTTTTCTATACATTCTAAGTGCATTTAGTGTTTTTTAGAATAAGAGAAATCCTTAATTAAATCCCAAAATTCTAAAATGAAAGAGAAACGTGTTGAAGAAAGAAACTGAATACATAAAGAAAATTCTTCTTCAAAGATATGTGCAGTTATTATTATGTAAAGTACCCAACTGTTTATGATTTCAGTCTTTACTATAATTTCCCATGTCTATTTCCTCAAATGATAGAGTTACTGAGCCAGATTAAATTTAAATTAAATTGTATAATCTTTGACCACTAGTCCACATTTTGATTTTGAATTTGACTGTTCTTATTTAATTACA